CCGCGACTTCGCCAGTGCAATGGTGAAGATGGGCAGCATCAGTCCTCTCACCGGTAGCAGCGGTGAGATCAGGACTGACTGCAGGAAGACCAACTAAGGAAGAAGATGCAGTGAAGTTAATGTCCCTTCTGCTTCTTGCGCCTTTCTCTTCTCTTGCAGCCGTATCAGCCATTGGGCTTTAAGGGAATAAAGCAAGAAAACTATGCTTGCAGCAATCTACAATCTCAAATAACATCTGGTGATTACCATATAACAGTTGATTTAGTGTCCCTCATTTCAATTCTATGGATGTGCATTGGGTTACTGATGACTATGGGGTAAGTTTAATCTACAATAAACCAAGTTTAAGATCACAAATAAATTGATCATCAACTATGAAACAACAATATTTAGACTAAATAAATTGTCAATGCTTTTCCATCTTACTCCTTTAAACCTTATTGAGGTGGGGACTATTTCAATCATCTTCTCTTTAACCTTACATATAAATTAGCATACAACTCCTTTAAACTTCATCAAGGGATCTTCTCTTTACCATACATATATAAATACTCTTTTAGAATATTTCCTGCCTTATTAGAAGTTTTTTTTTTTAAAGGCTAAATAGTGAAGACAAAATTTGAGCTCAACACTAAATATATTAATTGACATCCATATTAAATATATTAGATGAGATTTTGAACCCTTAATATTTTGGTAATTGAGTCTAATCAATGTTTAAGATATAAAATTATATATATATATATATATATAGGATGGGATTTCAAATCAGAAATTCTTTGTTAAATGAGTTTGGTACATCACTACTAAATTAATATTTTAAGTGTATCTATTTTTTTATTTTCTTTTTCACTTAACGACAGCCAAAACTTATCACTTTTTAAATATTTTGACTAATTTATTTTATTATAAATATTGGTCCTAATATCATATTGATATTTTAAAATTGACGATTGACAAAAATTAACAAACTTCGAATTTGATACCAATTCAAATAAAAAACTTTAAGCTTGTTATGTTGGTTCAAACCTAATATATGTCTAGTTTTATGTGATGAGCTAAGAAAAAAAAATCTTTCTTTCCTTCATCTAGAATTTACCTCTTTTTTTTTTTCCTTCTTTTTCTCAAGCCAGGGAAGAACAACATGAAACTTAAGACTAACTCTGGTGCTAAATCTTAATCTAGAATTCACCATGATTCATTTCATGCGCTTCATTGATCTTAAATCTTAATCTTGAGCTGGGTCAGTGAATAGGTTGATCAACTAAATTCAAATAGCCAACAGATAATGAACATTACATAAAGAAAAATATTCAATAGTAATATGTTTCCTGACCAATACCAAACATATAAATTGTGGAAATTATGTTCAAGTCACATTCATAAATCTTGTTCCATGACTTGAAGGTCAAAGAGCAACTGCAATAGGAGACTGAAATCAGAGAATCATTAACTCAATGCAAGATTGATGATGATAACTGAGTTCAAGGCTGAAATCAAAGAGAGGTGTGGATGCAAACACTTATTTCTACTTGGTATACTAGTATTTTACAAGGAGAGAACATATAAGAAGCCTTGAGCAATGTACTGATATATTTGAAAGTTCTTATTAATGGAAACAACATAACACTTGGAAAAGTGGAGATTTTGAAGATTGTAATCATAACTTCTCTTATTCACAGTAGGATTATGGTTGAGCAATCAAAATAGAATAGAAATTAAAGTAATCTTAGCTAGTTGATTTCAACAAGCCATAAGAAACAATAGAATAATGAGTGATATTAGCCAATTTCAAAGGAATAAGAAAGCTTAATCCAAGTCAAATGATGTTTATTCTTGAATTGTCAATATGAGTTTTATGTCCCTAAGAAAAAGGCTTTGGATTGCTCCAGTGACACAACTCATTTCAACATGGTTGGAACAATTCATTTGCAATGATACAACAGAATGGTGAGTTTTCAGAAACAAAGTGGATCCTAATTGAGTGAACAAAGGGAAAGTGGCATATGGAATTGACTTGTGGTGGACTATATAGCAAATCAAGCTTCTCAATGACTCTGGATTACTAGAACAATAGGATTGGGCTCTTAAACATTATTGTCAAGTGTAGGGCAATGTGTGTGTGAGAGAGAGAGAGGGAGAGAGAGAGAGAGAGAGAGAGAATGTGTACACAAATTATATTGATTTAATCTATATGAAATGAGTGGATTATCATTCATTTTTAGTTTATAAAATTTGATGATAATATAAAAAGATTATTAACTTCATAACTAATAGCAAAATAGTGTTGGCATATTTAAATACACAGGGGATGAAAGGACTGTATTGTTTTAATTCAAAACAAAAGTTTTCTTTTCATTTAAGACCAGTCACCTTAAAATATTATAAAATTGTTTCTAGGTTTGCTTATGATTATTTTCAAATTGAAAATACAAAAACAAGTCTTTTACCCAATACCTTTTGCTGAAAAATTTTGCAAAGGAAATATATTGTAATCCCCGATTTAAATTCACATCGGAAGTGAGTTAAAACTTAGACTAATAGGTTGATGAATATATTATTATTAACTTGTATCTAAATATTTTGATTTAATAATTCAAGTTTAATGAAATTAATAAACTAGTTATCCTTCAAATTAGATTATGATAATTAGTATTAGAACTGATAAGTAGGAGAGACATGGTGAGAGGCTCGAGTGAGAAAAGAGATAATTAGTATCATAGTAGAACTAATATTTTTAATTAGTTTCATATCAAAAGAATAATAGATAGATTAACAAATAAATTGATAGACTGAATAAAGAGAAAAGTAATATCCAGAAATGAGTGAAAGATTGTATTATTTTAGACAAAATTAAAGAGTAATTTTTATTCGAGGCTTTTCATCTAATTAGAACTATATAAACTTGTTGTCATGCTAAATGGTTTACCAATGATTATTTTCAAGTTAAAAATATAAAAATAATTCATTTATACAATAGTTTTTTGCGGAAAAGGAATGCTAATGAAGCATGCAGAATGGAAGGGTCAAAATATGATGAACCCACCGACACGAGAGAGAGAGAGAGAGAGAGTATAGACAGATGCAGACAAAATGGAAGGTGTGCTGCACAATAATATAGATTATAGTCACAGCATCAACAAACATCTTGGATGCTTGCATGGTGTCCATAGAAAGATCATGCTTTGGCTTCTTCCCCCTCTTAGTTCCATCAAAAGATGCTGCCTCGCGGCTATGAAGAAGTCAGGTTAATTTGAGGCTGTGTTAATTACCTTCCACTTCTCCAGTGTAAACCACTACCACAACATGATGTGCTCAAGCCATCCCACAAAAGCTTTATGATTTGTCTTGTAGCTTAGCTTCACCTGAAGCCAATGCAAGAGGAGCCTTGAGAATTCAAATGAAGGATCTCAAGTGAGGTACATATGGGACAGATCTAAAAGCATCTGTATGCCTGCCTTTCTATTCTACAGGATTAAATTGTTTGCAGATACTGGGCCATAAAATCCACATCATGCATTGAATGATGACTTCTCCCTGGCTAATAATCTGCTCCTTGTGAGCCATCATGCAATGGAGTTGCTGTTTGGAGGCAATGAATGATGAGGACCATTAGCTACATTACTTGCTGATGCATGTTTCTTGGAGCTTTTCTATCTAATCAAATCTAAATTTACTGAGGACATGTTAGAATTGCTATCTTTTGATCCCATGAATTGGAATGTTGCAGACCTTTCACTGGTTTATGTTGGAGAATGCTTCTCTCACTTGTTAGATCTGAAGGAAACCTACCTTGGTGGTCCTCCTTATGATGTTGAGTGGGATCTTCTATTGCGCACTTCATTCCAACATGTGATCTGCATCCTTCATACTTTAAAATGCATGCAGAAAATTGAGAGATTTCTGTCATTATATTCCATACTGGAGAAAAAACCAATCAATTTTTGTTGATCTATAATTTGATGAAGTTGGATTTGATTTCTCTCCTTTGAAACCTATAAAATATCCATCATCACTACTTTATCATGTGCATCAGAAACATTTGTATTGATAATTTCTTTTGTTTAAGCTTCAAAATGTTTATATTCACCCCTTGTAATTTTTTCAGTTCTTACACAGGATGAATTTTAAGAGTTCTTTCATTTGTCCAACACATGGCATAAAAATATCAACAATTTCTTTTAGCAATCAATGCACACTCTAAATTTCAAGAAGTATCCATTCAAGCCAATAAAGCTTTCTTGATTACCAATCAATGATGATGAATTCTTTTTCATAGAGGCTAATCAGGCTTGCTTTGTTGCATTGGTTAGCAATTCCATGGCAAATGAGGGTGAATTAAATGGCAGAGCAGCACCTTTCCAACCACTCATTTGGTGGATGAAGCCATTTAAGCTGCCTCCCACTCATGGACTTCATTCAATGTGGTAGGCTTCAGGCACTGTTGTTTTGTTTTTTGTTTTATTTTACTTTTCTGCAAATAAAATTCTCCACAATTTCATTCTTTATTTCCTACACTCCTCATCTCATATGCTATAAACCTACTCCCTAAGTTTCAGTGGTAGCTGAGGAGAAGACGGCAAAAGATTGGTTGGTAGGTGCAAGTAAAAAAATCTGATATCTGTGAAGATGAGCTCATTAAATTTCCCTTTACTTGATTTCAAGAAGAGAGAGAGAGAGAGAGAGAGAGAGAGAGAGAGAGATTCCTGAACATTTACCATAGAATTAAATATTGGGGTGGAAGCTGCATCCAACCTTTCCTCTCTTGATGTTTCTGGGATCAGTTATGAGTGTCTCCCTCTTTGTCCCTGTTCTTTCCTTCTTTTTGTTGACCCCTTGTCCTTTCTGTTCCTAATTCTTCCAATATACTTCTTCACTTACCTTGAAATCTTCTTGTATCTTAAAAACACTTTCCTGCACTGTTTTTTCTCCAAAAGAAATAATGTAAAACTTCACAGAAATGCATCAAGCAATTTGATACAACCATCACAATCTTATGATGACAATAATTGTGGTGAGAGAGCAGACCTCACCATGAATTGGTATTTTGTCATCACAGCTTACATGTAACAAGAAAATGATACAGAATAGAAGGTGGTGGTGACGAAGACACAAGCTATCAGTCCCACATTATTACAGCAACTTGGACAAACACTTCACCTCCTTCTTCTTGCTTTGGGCAGCAGATGAGACTTGCTTCGTAAGCGGAGACCACAAGGTGTTCGATGTCAGACCATTAAGCAGCGGTACGTCGGCCGCAACCATGCCCGACGACCGACAAGAGCGCCTTCTTCACCGGCGCGGCCCTGCGTCGCATCCCAAAGCACAAGGTTGACTCAGGCGGCCCGTCCTCGGGCTCCTCGCCATAGCCGACGGCCGAGAAGTACGACAGCGGGCTCAAGGAAGAGGAAGACGAGGGGAGGGACGAGGAAGGCGAGATGTGGACCTTCCTTAGGCTGAGCTTGGGGAGCATGGCGCGGATGAAGCTGGACTTGCAGGACTTCATGGAGCTCTTGCTCCTGGGGGTGTAGAAGTAGGAGGGGGGAGGGGTGAGGGGAGGGAGCGCAGCGGTGGAGCTGACGTGCTTGGGGGTTCCAGGCTGAGACTCCCACTGGAATGGCACAGCCCCGGACGCCACTCCATAGTAGACTCTAAAGGAAGGGTTGGCCACTGACCTCTCCTTAAAGAGGAGCCTGCAGCAGAGCTTGTCATCCTGCTTGCTTTGGTTTGAGCCTGTGTGGAGATCTGAGCTAATGGGGAACATCTTTGGCTGTGCTGAGGAGGAAGAAGAAGAAGAAGAAGAAGGGAGGACAGTGATGAGCTAAAAATTGAAATCAGTACGTACCTCACACAAATGAATGCTTTGCTGGTTTGAAGGATGTATTAAACAACACAGTGAGGTCTGGTTATAAATATAGACTTTGCACATGTAGAGAGGATTGCTTGCCTTCTGACATTTTTATTAGAAGCTTTTGTTTTTTTTTACCATGAATTACACAAGTCATGGAAATAATCTTTGTATTTGCTGAGAATGTCCAAATTCATAATCTTACAAAGAAGTTTATTCTTCTACAATAGCCTCACTCATGGCTATGACACAATTATTCTTGTAATAAAGCATGGAGGCACTGTAAACTTGGATAATTACTTGAAGTTACAATGAGTTTTGGCAAGTTTTTCTAGCATTGTTAGCCTCTCTTCCAATCATAATTTTCTCTTAGGAGTTGAAAATTTTGAGAAAACTTTACAGTACTAATAACAAGGCTGTATTGTATATTTTGACTCTATTCTAGTGAGAATATGATAATATAAAATATAACTCATGGAGTGGATCAAGCCACTATAATTGGCTCATTAGGATGACACCAACAAGTAGGTCAACAAGAGACTGATATCAAGACATGGATGGTCACTGAATCATATGCATTCAAGTTGGAACCATGTGATCATGGTCTGTCTCTCTCTCTCTCTCTCTCTCTCTCTCTCAACACTAAAAAAATACTCCATGTCAGGGCCCATTTAATCTATACTACAAGTAGATCATAGTCATGATGGAAGGAATATGTTAAGAGCTTCTTGGAGCTAGAGATGGACTTATTTTTACTACCCAATCCCAAGACTCCCATGTCATATTCAATCCTACAGTTGATAGCAAGCCAAAGAAACAGATTTGAGCACTGTAGGTCAATTAAGAATGAAATGACAAGTCTGTCTTTTTTATTTGAGTAGTACATAATGGAGAGTCAAGGACATCTTATCTTTGTTTCTATTAGCTTTTCAAACACTTGAGCATGGAAGGAAAGTGATGCAATTGTGCTGCAACTGGAATATTCCTCTCTGTTTCATGATCAAATTGCATCATTGTTGGGCTGCTCCAAAGGCTAAGAAGGGAGAAAGGGATGGATTAACTTGCAAGTAATCTCATAGCAAAGTGGATCATAAAGAAACTTATTTTAGGGGATTGAATAGTATCAAAAGAAATACATGCATGAGTATTAGCATTATGGTAATATCTTTTATGATTTATAATTAATATTCGAGTCATGAAATTCATTTATTTTTTCTCGAAGGTAATATATCTTTACGGCGCATTTGGTTGTCAAGAATGATCTTACCATTAATCGTCGAACATGATAGTTCATAACATCTCTCTCTGAAAATAAAATGTTACATTTTTAGTGGAATCATTAGGCTCTGTTTGTGATTATTTACATTATGTAATTTCATTGTTTTCAGAAGTAACAATACGAAAATGTAAAATTTATGAAAGCTACCATTTTGCGTCTCAAGAAACAGAAAAACTTGGAAACCAAATTAGCTCCCTGAAAACAAGATTTAAACTCTGTTTGTGATTACTTGCACTGTGTGATTTCATAGTTTTCAGAAGAAAGAGTACAAAAAATAAAAAATTTTGGGGTCTAAGATTTTGTATCTCAAGAAACAAAATTTCATGGAAAAAATAAACACATTCTATAATTTTATTGTTTTAAGATGTAGGCATACAAATATTATAAATTCTGAAGGCTAAGAGTTTGTATTTCAAGAAACAGAAATTTTCAGAAACAGAAGTAGCAACTTGAAAACAAGACTTAGGCTCTTTGTGAGTAGTAACATTCTGTGTATTCATTATTGTCAAAAGTGGGAAGGTCAAAACTATGGAATGAATTGGTAAAATATGTATGGTTTCCATGAACTGTGTTATTGTTTCAAAGATTTCCAAAGCTAAAATTTTGCATCTGAAAGCAGAAGAAAGGCTCAGAAACAAAACATACACAATGAGAACAAGATCCATGAAATAAATTTGTAGAAAATGAGACTCCAAATTCTTTTCCCTGCTTGATAATATTTGGCCCATCAAACTCATCTTCTGCATTTGGTCGCTTGGTCAAGATATCAATGGATGACTGCCAAATTATTTAGTATAAGATCTTGGATGACTTGTATGATGACTGAATCACAAAGTTGAACATGTTGCCTCTCTGACAAATGAAAGAGAATCAGATCCATGATAATAACTCAGCATCATGTTTTTCCTCTTTGACAAATGAAAGTTGAACATGTTGCCTGAAGCTTTCCCTCAAAGAAACTGTCTGAAGAGCTTAGTATTATTATTTTACTCTCTGAAGTCTTCTCCATCAAGAAGTCTTCAGCATTCAATGAAGGAAGACATTGTTGATTGGGCTTGGGTTGAAAACTATAGCTCTCATTTGGAGCAGGCTTCATGTCTTATTGTCAGTAGAAGTGTCTTGTGCATGACATAATTGACTACCAAGGTGCATGATTCAAGTGTAAGAAAGTATTAGGATTGCTCTACAAACAATGATGTCATCTGTCATCTATCTTGCAAATCAAACATACACAGAACTTGGCTTTGGTGTCACCAAACATTATTTGCTAATTTTTTGTGGAATTTATGGCTTAATTGATCCTAAAATATAATAGCTTGACCTAAACTTTTATGGGCTGCCTTTGTAGGGTCTTATTAAACTGCCAAAAGGTGATGTGGCTTTTGGGTTAAATGGGTCAAGAAAGAAGATAATGATAAAAATCAAGGAAATGATGAGAAAGGAGAGAAAAGTTGAGAGGAGGGTGAGAAATGGCAGTGGGAAAGAGAAAAAGAAGAAGAAAGAGGGTTCTAAATAGTAGGGATAATGCTTAGTAGAGGATAATCTCCATATAATGGTAGAATTTTTTCTTTCTAATGTTGGTGATCTGATTTAAAATCACAAAAATAGATAATATACTTTTAGAGATAAGATGGTATATATTGATCTTTCCAAAATTTCATCAAACCATCCATTTTTTTCATGTTAGAAAAAAAAAGCTATTTATTATTATTATTTATTTAAGTGTGACTAAAAGTTACAATCATTATGCACCAAAGAAGTTGTCATTAATATAGCAAACAATCTCAAAACATTAGTCACTATTTAAAAATAATAATATTTAGCTGACAAAAATAAACTAATGTAATTTATAGAAATATATTGCAATTTTTTTGACAATTCTTAAATTTATCTAAACTAGCTTTTACTTGGAGTCTTAAGCTTTTGAAAGTAATAATGAGGAGAATGGAAAATGGAGGAGTATATGGAGTATGAATTTTATGTAGTTTATCTTCTATTGCATACCTAGAAACCTTAATTAAGTTTAAATTTCTTTAGGGACATAAAAAAGAATGAGTTTGGA